GTACACTAATGTTCATAATAGCATTATTCATAATAGCCAGAAAGTGGAAACAACCCAAATGTCCATCAACTAATAAATGGATAAAAAAAATGAAGTGTATCCATACAGTGGAATATTTCTTAACCATAAAAGGGAATGAAGTACTGATAACACGCTACACTATGGTAGAAACTGAAAAACAGTATGTTAAGTAAAGATACAAAAGGCCACATATTATATGATTCTATTTATATGAAATGTCCAGAACAGGCAAATCCATAGAGACCGAAAGAAGATTAGTGGTTGCCAGGGTCTGGGGAGTGGGGAGGGAAGAATGGGGGGGTTGGTGACTGCTAATGGGTACCGGGTTTATTTGGGGTGTGATAAAAATGTCCTGAAATTAGTGGTGATAGTTGAATAGCTTTGTGAATACATTAAAACCCTAAAACCCCTTGAATTGTACACTTTAAATCAGTGAATTGTTTTGTATGTGAATTATATCTCTAAAAGTTACTAAAAAAATAGTAGGTGGGTCAAGGAGGCAAAAATGGGTAATGACTAATTAGAGACCATGAAGAAGACATGGGTGAAGTACTTTCTATTTGTTTTTTGCCCCCTTCCTCCAGTTCCTTCACCAGGACTCAGCGTGGCTTCCCCTTTCTTTCCAATATACTAAGTCTTCTTCCCCACTACCTCACTACAGTCAGCAGAATGATCACCTTGTGAGGCTGACCTGGCCCCAGGGGAGGAGAGAGATGGCCGTTCTGTTCCCTATAGAGATAAAACGGAGGGTGAGCTGATGGAAATAGAGCACAGAAAAGAATTCATGCCCCCTGCCTGCTGAGGGTGTCTCCACATGATAGGCATCTCTGGTTCTGGGAACAAATATCCTTTGGGTTGGGGGGGTCCCTGATCCTCATGGCACAAGGGAGGGGTTCTGTGAGTCTGATACATCCCTGTGGCCCATCACACAGTTTATCCACCTGATTGGAGAATGAAGACTCTTGGAGTGGAACACTGGAGGCTACCTGTGTCCCTGCTCCCCATGGGAGGTGTGAGCTAGCAGCGTCTATCTCTGCCCCCTGGTGGCGTTGCTCTGGGTTTTCAGGCTACTCATCCTCCCTCCTGTCCCACTGATGAGCAGCTCCGCCTAACATGTGTTCTGATGTTTCCTTCACAGCTATGTGAAGGCTTTTTTCCTGATCCATTTCCTATTCCTCTTTTTGTGCTATATACTGTTTCTTACAGGACAAGATACCTCCCACCTTGCACACACACCATAGTAAGAGTTATTTTGTTTTGTAGGCATTTATAAACAGTGCAGTTTGGCTCAGGCTACATGCATTACTTTGAGTGATCCACGTCTGCCCCATGAACTTCCTCCCAGTGCTCATGAGTTCTGGGGTCTAGGTGGTGGGCTATGGATGGATGTTGAGTTTGAGATAACAGAGCTGTTGTGGAAGTTAGCATCCCAACTATTACAGCCAGGAGAATTAATCAGGAGAACTGGGAGGAGACATGACTAAATGTAATAACATATTCAGGATGGGATCCTGGGACAGAAAAAGGACATTAATTAAAAATTTAGAAAAAAATTATGGGGATTTCCCTGGTTGTCCAGTGGTTAGGACTCCGTGCTGTCACTGCCAAAGGCCTGGGTTTGATTCTTGGGCGGGGAACTGAGATCCTGCAAGCTGAGAGTTACGGCCTAAATAAATAAGCAAAATTAAAGAATAAAGTATGGACCTTAGTTAATAATAAATCAATATTGGTTCATTAATTGTGACAGATGTGCCATACCAATGTAAGATGTTTTCCTCATTAGAGAGAAAACTAGGTTTAGAGTATATAGGTATATATGTATATATAGTATGGAATATATAGACACTCTACATTGTCTTTGAAATTTTTCTGTAAATCTAAAATGATTTTGAAGTTAAAGGTTTATTAAATCCTCCAAAAACATACTGTCCCCACCCCCATGAGAGTACTCAACTCTGACTTGGTCAGACCATTTTAAAAAAAGAGTGTCATCCAATATGCCCCCTTTGAAGAGTGGTTATCAGATAGCTCCTGTATCATCAGCACAGCCTGGAAGAGTTCCATTTACCTGTGTATAAAGGATAGAGTTTGAAAGTCCTGGCAGAGTGGATAGGAAGACGAGAGCATTGGAGCAGAAGTGCACATTCTGGTATTAGGCTGAGTGAGGCCTTCCAGGACAACAAGTGACAAGGAATGAGCCTGTGGTAGCCCTGGGCCAGGTCCCGGTGGCTGTTAGGGAAGGACCAACTCAAGAAGTCATTATCTCAGGGAGTCAGGGAAGTTTTGCATCCAGGGCAGAGCTGAAGGTCAGGAGCTGAAAGTGTAGCCAGCCTTTGTGTCTGAGAATGAGCAGGGGCTGAGAGTAGATCAGTCATGCGACAGGGTCAATCGGGAGTGAATTCAGGAGTCCTGGGTTCCTGGGTCTCTGCTCTCACGCACAGCAGGCCAGCAGACTTCTCATGACAGTTAAGGCAGACAGTCTGGCCAGACAAGAAGCCTCTGGAACAACTCCATCCCACCATGGGGCACTGCTGAAGAAAAAGGAGGATCAAAGGGTTGGAGGGAGGGGAGAGAAATGACTCGGCAGCCTGTCATGCTCTTCAAGCTGGGGCAGGTTTCCTTAGGGAGGTGCTCACATGTTCAGTGTAATGGTCTGAATAGTGTCCCTCAAGTTCAGGTCCGCCTGGACCCTCAGAATGTGACCTTGTTTGGAAGTAGTGTCTCTGCCATTGTAATTGGTTAGGAGGAGGTCATCCTGGATTCAAGTGGGCCTTAACCCAGTAACTCCTCTCCTGGTGAGGAGAGGAGAGGGCACACAGATACAGACAGGGAAGAGGCCATGTGAAGTTGGAGGCAGAGGTTGGAACGGTGTGGCCACAGCCCAGTGTATACGGGGGGTTGCCGGGAGCCACCAGAAGGTGGAGGAGGCAAGGAAGGATAGTGCCCTAGAGCCCTCAGAGGGACCGTGACCCCGCCGATGCCTTGATTTTGGACCTGTAGCCTTCAAAGCTAAGGAAGAATAAATTTCTGTTGTTTCAAACCTCCTGGATTATACTCTGTGATGGCAGCTTGGGGGAAATGAATACATTTGGTGAGGACAGGTGGGTGGGTGTACAGTACTGGGCCGGTATACAGTCCCTAGTTGCATATGTGCCTGAGAGGGGCTGCGCTATGGGACCCCCTGTTCCTGGGAGACCTAGAGCTGGGGGTTGCTATTTGTGAGTCTTGACCTGGTCCAAAAACTAATTATAATTAGCATAGGTGATAAAATGTTTCCCCCTTGCCTTCTATTCTTACAGTGAAGTCTCCCCGCAAGGTGGGATTTCTTTGTGAAATCCTCGTCCCGTGATCTGAAGGAAACAAATGTGTAGAATCCTTCTCCAAAGTAGACCTTGTGGTTCCTTGAGATGTGTCCCCCTTCTCTTCTCTGGGTGTTTCCTTGCCTGAGCCTCCAAGCAAAGAGACTCTTTTTTTTTTTCAGGCTCATGCTCTGCTTGATCATTATGGCCTCTGAAACCATGAGCCATCCCTTCCTGAAACTTCTCTCCTTGGGGCCAACACCTCTTTCTTCTGTGACTTCCGTCTTCTTCCACCACCCATTAAAAAATGTTGCTGTGCACCCAAATATTTGATGTTCTCCTATCACTCTAAAACTCTTTTGGGTATTTATCCAGTTTCCTTACTGTAATTGCCACCACGTGTGACTCCCAAATCTGTGTTCTTGTTGGAAATGTTTCCTTGAGCTCCAACTGCATGTGGTTCATATGGGTTTTCCATTAGAGGTCCAGTCACCTGAGCTCAGGGTGTTCTAAGCCCTGTACTGATTTACCTCTTCTCTCAGCTAGAATCACAAACCCTCCACTTTCAGAATGAAGGATTCATGCCGAAGTTTTATTTATTACCTGTTTTTGGCCATGCTGTGAGGCTTATGAGACCTTAGTTCTGCAACCAGGGATGGAATTCAGGGCCCAGCAGTGAGAGCACTGAATTCTAACCACTGGATGGCCAGGGAATTCCCACATACAGAGTTTTTAATTAAGATTAAAAAAAAGATAGATATTGAGCAGTTTGGGAGAAAGTAAAACACACACACACAGAATTATGGTTAGTGGCAGTGTAGTAATTACCCAATCAATAGACTGTCAAAGCTTGTCTATGCAAACTTTTCATATAATACCAGGGAATTTTAGGACATGAAATTTTTATTTAAGAAAGTTACAGGGTAAAGTATCATGCATTTTACAGCTCCTTCCAGTTTCCTTAGTCTGTCCCCTTTCTGGTTCTCAGCCCTCAACTTAGGTGCCATTCTTGTCTTCGGATGGAAAAGTAGTCAGTTCCTGTCTCCATCCTGGTGCAGCTAGGTTCCGCTCTTCCTCTCTGCAATGATACCCTCCTGCCCTTGCTAATCTGCTTCAGCGGACTGAGGGGCCTACAACCTCCTTTGTGGCCAGAGTCATGTGCCTGGAGGCTGTGACACTACCCTCTGATTGCTCGTATGAACTGCCTTGAATCAGTGTCCAGGCTAGCAAACACTGCCACACATTATTTTTTCTTAATTAAAAAATTGGGGGGTGGGATCCCCAGTGGTTCAGCGGTAAAGAATCTGCTGCCACTGCAGGAAACAAGTTTGATCCCTGATCCAGGAAGATCCCACATGCCATGGAACAGGTCCGCATGCCACAACTAGTGAGCCTGTGCTCTAGAGCCTGGGAGCTGCAACTACTGAAGCCGGCGTGCCCTAGAGCCACAACAAAACGCCACAATAAGAGAACTCCACAAGAGAAGCCACCACAATGAGAAGCCCGTGTGCTGCAACTAGAGAGTAGCCCTCACTCATCACAACTAGAGAGAAGCCTGAGCAGCAACGAAGACCCAGCACACTCAAAAACTATATAAATAAAATTTTAAAAATTAAAAAGTATTTTTGGTATGCTGCACAACATGTGGGATCTTAGGGCCCTGTGTGCTTGCATGTCTGTATGTGTTTAGTCACTGAACCGTGTCTGACTGTTTGCAACCCCACAGACTGTAGCCCACCAGGTTCCTCTGTCCATGGGGATTCTCCAGGCAAGAATACTGGTGTAGGTTGCCATGCCCTCCTCCAGACCCAGGGATCAAACCTGTGTCCTATGCAGTGGAAGCACACTCTTAGTCACTGGACAGCTGGAGAACGCCCTCAAAATCATAAGAATTCACTCCAAAAGTCCACAGTGGTCAAGGGTCATTTCTTTTCAAAGCCCAAAATCTTTTTGGATCCAGAACGAGGAGTTGAGAGGTGGAATGCGAACCTACTTCATAAGGTTTTTGTCCAAAGTGATATCAAATTATCTAATTTCAGCACTCCATGGCTTACAGTGTTAAAGTACTGACACCAGAGACTCAGGGGAAGGTACTGATGAAGATACTTGGATGGATAATCCTGGCTATTTCCCCTGGTACATCAATGCGCAGTTGGTTTCTGAGACATCCGGTAATGATGAGAAGTGTGCCCCTAAGCAGCTCTGGGCTCAGCTCTGGCACTCATGTCTTAATTAGGTGTGTTTTGACTCATCATTATTTAGTAACCCATTTTTCCTTAACACAGTGCTTTAGTTGTCTTATGCAATTAGAAAGAGGAAGCTCCCAAAAGTCATCACATTCCAGAAGAGATATGACAGAAAAGATCATTAACTCTATCTTACTGTACAAATCCCAGCAGTAATTAGGGACTTACGTAAATAGCACGGCTTAAATTATTTAGCTGACAATCCCTAATAACAACACCAGCACTTGATTCTTCAGAAAAGCGAAAGTGATTAGTCTGCTATATAACCTCATCATCAGAAAAATGTATTCCCCTTTTGTAACATTTGTTATGATGTCCTTGTAAAAGGGCAAATTAAAGACAAGAGTTTTGACACATCAAATTGTACTGCAGTATGAAAGTCAAAATAAGTGTTTCCTCCATTAGAAGACTGGCATCCACGCTGCATTGGGGAATTTTTTCTCTTGGGTGGCAGGCAATGTGGATGAAGTTGAGTGGAACCTAATTTTCAGCAAGTTCTTATCTTTTTCACCATCTATTCTAGGAATGATACTACAGAAGTTAATTCTTTCAGGAAGAGTGGTTCTAGAAAGATGATTGAGGTTCATGTGGGAGATTAGGGGGGATTTTAAAACTTTCCTTTGGCAAACTAACATTTATCAGTCTTCATGGGTGTGTGAGGATGTGGGCCAGGTGCTAGATACAAAGGTGGTGAGGCAGTGCTTCCGGCTTCTAAGAGCTTCTTTCTAACCCTGAACCATCAGTCAACAATGTTTCCAGCTCTCCTCAGCACTCGGTCACCTGCTAGAAGATAGGTGTGGTCAGGTCCCCTTCTTTGATCTATAGGAACACTTGTGTGATTCCTTCACTTTCCTATCCCCCTCCCAACAAGTAAGCAGGAATTTTCTCTTTAACAACATCAAATCCAGCCCACCTTGACCATTATAGAAAGTTAGACTTCCTACTACACCTGGTAGTGGACAATCAATGAGATGCAGATGCAAAGGCACTGTGGTTGGCACATAGCAGGCCTTGGTAAAGGGTATCTTTCTTTCCCCCTTTCTCTTTAAAAATCTCATGAAAAAGATGTGAATTCTTATTTCTTCAAGGAAAGCTGATTGGCTTCATGTGCATTTTTATGACAGCAATGTCTATAAGTGTTTACACAAGAGATATCTTCATTTGGGGGTTTGGTAATGGTAGGTATAATTTTACAGTTACGATGTGTGATAGAATTGGCTAATTGTCTCTCAACATTTGTTATCCTCTTCTCCCTTAGTAATGTCTGAGTGGGCACGTTGTGCATCAAGTTAAAAGACATTTGCCAGCTCCCTTTGCAATTTGCAGCTCCCTTTCAATCTGCGGCTATTGAAAACCATGTAACTAACTACTGGACAATGAGATGTTAAAAGGAAGTGTGTGGGATTTCTGTGAAGGCTCCTTTTAATGGAGGGATTGCCCTGTCATTTCCTTTGTTCCATGCTGTTGCCTGGGATGTAGATGCAGTGGCTGAAGTTCTAGCAGCCCTCTTGGCCCATGAGGGCAAGAGTCCCACACTAAAGGGGACAGTGGAAAGTGAGGCAGAAGGCCCTTGAGCCTTTGGTCACTTAAGGGAGTGCCATAACAGGTCATGAACTGCCTATTTCTGGGTTTCTTTTAGATGAAAGAAAAATAAATTTCTAATGTGCTCAAGCTACTGCTGCTTTTTTTTTTTTTTTAAAGGAAAATCCTTTTAAAATTTGTATTTATTTATTCTATTTTTGGTTGTGCTAGGTCTTCATTGCTGCGTGTGAGCGTCATCGTGGCGAGTGGGGGCTACTCGTCATTGTGGTGCACGGGCTTCTCATTGTGGTGGCTTCTCTTGTTATGGAGCCTGGGCTTGCAGTTCCCAGGTTTCAGTAACTGCAGCATCTGGGCTCAGTAGTTCTGGTGCGTGGGTTTAGTTGCCCTGAGGTATGTGGCATCTTCCCAGACCAGGGATCAAACCCATGTCTCCTGCCTCGGCAGGCAAATTCTTATCCACTGCGCCACCAGGGAAATCCAGGCCATTGCTTTTTAAATTTGAATTTTATTTATTTTTAATTCTGGTAAAAAATAATACAAACTTTACCATCTTAACCATCTTTAAGTGTACAGTTCTGTAGCATTAGCTATATTTACATGGACTATTGTTTTACATTTTTTTGTTTAGGCAAAGTCAAGCCTAATCCTAACAAAGCACAATAGAAACTCTTTTAACTGACCTCCAATGAACTAACTTGTTAAATTAAGGATACTCTTTACTTAGTAAAGTGTACTAGTTGTTGCCCATCACGCAATGCTCTTGGTTACTAAATAATTCTCTAGAACAGTGTTTCTCACACTTGTGTTTGACTTGCATTTCTGGATTCTGGTTCCAATAGGTCTGGAGGTGGCCTGAAAACTGCCTTTATAACCATTTCTCAGGGGATGCTGCTGCTGCTGGTCTGGGGACACTTTGAGAATCACTGATATAAGGATGCCACAGTCTTCTGTCCCTGTCAGTGGAGATGAATGTTACCAGGAATCAACTGTGTTTGCCATCAAGCCTGTTTATTGTACTTGCAATTGTCTTTAGAATTGTAATGATGTAAACCTGTTTATAGGTAATGTACTTGTGACTGTAATTTGAATAAATGTCATATAAACTTATGAAAACATAGTCAGAAAAATAACCCTTATTATGGAAATAAACTGAGTACTTTGGGATTACTTGATATGCATACTCACTAAAAGAGTGCTGCCAAGTCAGGCTTGGTGGGGGAACTCTTAAAGAAAGAAAAGAATCTATAAAAATTGAGAAATGGTGCACTCAAATTGCTTTAAAAGTGTTTTTAAATTATCATTTTACTTTAAATAAATAAAGCCTACAAATTGTAAATGATGCCTTATGGCTACAGTATATCAAAAAAGATAAAGTAGGTAAAGTAGGACTTCAACCAGTGAACCCAATCTTTTTTTTCAATTAACTGATTAATTTTGATTGAAGGATAATTACTTTACGATATTGTGATTTTTTTTTTTTTTTTGCTATACATCAACATGAATTGGCCACAGGTATACATGTATATCCTGCATCCTGAACCCCCCTCCCACTTCCCTCCCTACCCTATCCCTCTGGGTTGTCCCAGAGTGAACTGAATCTTAAACAAACAAACAAACAAAAAAACCTTTGGAACATTGGCAAACAAATGCATGCTTAAACGTTTTAAATTAAAATAGCATTCTAAACTAAAATAAACCATTTAAATGAAAACAAGCTATTTAAAGTATGTTCCCTGTTGCCTTGCTTTTTCAGTTTACTTGATGGTCTTAGCCTGGGTCACCCAAAATTTAAAGTCTGTGGAAATGGCTTATGTACTATTACTTTAGTTGGAATGCAGCCCAAGCAAGATGGAAAAAAGGAAAGTGAGTCCAGGAAGGAGACACTAATGCGAAAATGCCCAGTAGAGCCAGCCTGCACTTGGAATCCAGTGGGACTGATTTCTTATAGGCTAATTTTCCGAGAAACTGCTCTTCAGGACAGTGTGTCTGGGTTAAGGAGGTAGAAGGATTGAATCGTCTCCCATCTCCCATTGGTTAATGGTTTGCTGTGAGGGGTGTTAATTCCCTTACGCTCCTGTCTTTGGCATGAGTAGGCACCAGGGCAGGCTTCCTGGGCACGTGACCAATGAAGTCATAGCTGATCTCAGACTAGGGCCCACTCTTGGGATTTAATACTCTGTAGGCACTGCCTGGAAAGTCTTACTAATTTTATTTCTGAACTTGTGTTTTATAAGGAAGTTTGAGGGACAACACAGCCTGCGCTGAGGGGCTTGCGGCCTCTGCTCACAGTGAGCTCTTCTTTTCCCTGCCTCCCTGAGATGGGTTCTCAGCGCCTGACTTTGTGCTGCTTGGTCTTGGGTGGTGCCCTGGACACTAGGAAGGGTCCACACTCACCTGGTGAGTATCTGTCTGCTCGAGGGAGTGCCGCATGAAATAGCAGGTCAAATACACCATGACAGGTCAAGAGAGAGACTTTGGAAGGAAGAAAAAAGCTTCTTTCCTGCCTTTTGAACAACTGACTTCACATTTTCATTTTGTACTGCAAATTCTGCAGCGGGCCCTGTGGGGCACTGAGTGGGTCTGTGTGTACTGTACCTTGGTGTTGGTAAGGATGCTCCAGGACAAGGATGGGAGTGTGCATCTTGGTGTGGAGCACCAGCTCTTGTGTGTCTCAGTGGCTCAGAGGCCACACGGAGATCACTACCATTGCAGCTGTATCTGGAACAACTGGCCAAAGGCCCTGCGGATGGGTGAGACCAAGAAGGTCTGGACAGATGCATGAGAGGTGCTGAGCCAGCTTGCCTCCTCTATCTCTCAGATTGGTTCCACCCTCCCACTGTATCTGGCTCTCACACTGTGATATGTGGCCTTCATTTTTGTGATGTGAAGATGTTTTTATGTCTTCCCTGAGAGAAGAGGGAATAATTCACGAGATGATGGCCTGCCATAAGTTCGGAAAAGATTTAAGGTAAGAGAGTTAGCAAAATGGCTACAGTCCTGATGCTGCAATCTGCAATCTATCCCATACTTGTAGTAGATATCTATCATCAACTTCTCCCTCTGCCACCCCTTCTAGATCTCTCTCTTCCTTGTCCAACACTCACTGGTCTGAGTTCCTTTGCTGGTAGACTGACCTAGACCTTCATCTTTGAGGGATCTGAATCCATAGTTGCCTTAATTTGATCAGTCACTGGTAACTCAACTGTCCATCCATTGTTATCCCTGGGCAAGGAAGCATCAAGAGATATTCCAGTAAGTCCCTTGCCTTGGGTTTTAGACACA